CCTTCCAACCCAAACTATTCTATGATTCTATGGTTCTATGAAATGGATTTATTTCAGGAGCACTGTAATAAAGCCTTGGTTCAGCAAGGGAAATAGAGGTAACAGTGGTAACAGAAAAACATACCAAGCAATTGGGAGCAGAGGTCTGCCTCGTGTGGGCTGTGGTGGTGCTTTCCAGCACGCCATCATGGGGCGAGGGTGGGTGAGGCGCTGGCCCGGCACGGCACACACCAGCAGAGTCTCTGCTCGACAGAGGGGCTGGGGGAGCCGAACTCGCTCCGACCTGGCAGCAAAGAGCTCGCGGCTGCAGTACGTGGGGTAGGGTAGGCAGCCTAACTACGCAAAAGGAGGAGAGCGGGTTCAGACCATCCTGCAACTGGTCTCATTTGCTTTTAACACTTTGGCATGCAGGGTTGCTGGGAAGGGCTTAGGTCAGTGGAAAAACAAAGCCAAAGTTGCAGGGGCCTGAGAAGAAGAGAGAGGGATGGAGGAGGGCGTGCAGTGGGGCTGGAGTGAAGGGCCGTTGCGTGTAATGGGTGCAGAGTCCGGCAGACGCTGCTGCTGTGCCTGTACGTGGTCAGGGCTCCTGTCTGTTTGATAGGAAAGCAAGACAGGGGGATGGGAGGGGGTGCAGGGAATTTGCAAGAGAGCTTTTCCAGAGGCTCTGATTAATCGTTTGGCACCACAGCCAATTTAAGCAATCTCTGCCCCAGGCATAACAAAGGGGAAATCACAGGGTGGGGAGATGCAGCAGGGATGGGCAGGGACAATTAAGCCAGCTGCCGTCAGAGAAACTGGCTGAACTACCACGGGGTGACAGCGGTGCCGGTATGGTACAAACTGCCGGTCACCAGTGGGTCAGACCCTCTCCCCAGGGGATGGCTAGGAGGCAGGAGCGAGGGCAGGCACAGAGAAGGGCTGGGAGTGGGTGTGCTCTGCGGTTCAGAGCAGCCCCAGCCAACTTCAGCCAGCTTATGAAGACATCGGGCGAGGACTGAAACCAAGAAAAGCAGCTCAGCTTTTCTCTGCAGAAAGCGTTAACTACCACCCCGCCAAACACAGCTGCCTCCCCTGCTCAGGCCACAGGATGCGGCAGGCGGGGGGGAGGTGACTTGGAGAAACAAGGCACTGAAAGCTGCCATTTCCTCATGATGCCATCTACTTCAGCCTAACACACCGGGAAATGAGGAATTATTTGAAGAGGGCACTGAAACCATCAGGGACTTTTCCTTGGCAGTAACAAAAGTCAGGGGATGTTTTCAGCTAAAGGAGAGTGTTGGTAATTAGGGTTGCACATAGTGTGATGAGAAACATCCCAGCCAAACACATCTCAGTCACAACTGGTCTTCCCTGCTGAGTCAATGACTTTAGCACTAGTGAAGCCTTGGATAAGCTCCGGCTCTTTGATTTACAGCCACCCTTGGGGTAGGTTGCACAGGGACTCGCACATTTGTTCCTGATGCATCTGGCTGCCAGGAGACCCCAGCAGAGGGGCAGTGTTGCTTGACTGCACCTTATCAGGTGCTGCTACCATGCAGGAAACGTCCAACCAACCCAAACCCATTTACGGCACGGCCACGCACGCAGCTGTGCTGGCGCACAAAGGACCATGTATGCCCAATTTCTTCATTTAAGCTTTGCCCACTTATCCAGGCTTAAAATAAGAACAGACATGGAACTGATCTTCTAGAAAAATCTAACTACTGGAATAAAAAACACTGTTTGAAAACTTGTAAGCAGGAAATGAAAATATAGAGAGCTGTTGTCATATCCCCGTTTGGGGCGCTTTATCATGGACCAAGAAAAACTACGCCTTCTCCATTTGAGGAAAACATGTCTGCCTTAACGTGTTTTCCAGGTTTATTGACATTCAGCATAGGGCTATTTCAATTTGATCACTAGAAGTGGTGAGACATGATCAGGCATAATCATTAACTGATCTCCATTTGTATTCCCTATATGGTATGTGATTCGCAGCATGCCCTGGATGAAAGTCCATAGCTCGAGTTGCTCCGTGAAACAGTTCTGGAACAGAAGTAGCTGGTCTCCACGCCCTGGGACCAGCACAATACCAGGCCTGAGCCCCCACTGTTTGCCCCTGGGCAGGCTGGGGGGCAATCCGCTGAGGTACAGCCTGAGCACCCACCGTCCTGACCCTGAAGGAGCAGCTCCATTAAGTAAAGGTTTAAACCATTGCCATAGTGGGACGTGGAGCCTGGAGAAGAACCATGACGAGGCCACCGGGAACAACGCCTACAAAGGCGAACTTCCGTAACACTTTTCACTTCTGCTTGTATTTTCAGTCTGCAGAGAGAACAATACAAGCACACTAATATACAGTTTTATGTATATTTTTGCCTCGAGCTTGCTGATAGACACGTTCAGAAGACTAGCAGCAATTTCTTTTCACAGCAGCAATTTAAAAAAAAATGTGCTGCGAAGGCAGGAAAGATCAGGAGTTTGCCAGCAGAAGAGAATAGATAAATGACAGGGCTCAGCTCAGGCCGTCATGCAGGGACAGAACTGACTCTAGGTATTTTCTCTCTCCTGTTGCTTGTGCCTGCACCCTGTTAGGGTTCTACTGGTCACACATAAAACAACCAGCCAACTCAAACCCTCTTACAGCATGGACACACACAAAGCTGTGCTGGCACCTGTAAGAAAAAGTGTGATACAACAGGAGGAGGAAAACCGTGCCGAGTGTAATCCCTGCTCCTAGGGATACCTGTTCTTTGTTACACCCCTTGAAAGCGTAGTTCCACGATACAAAAACAATGCAGCTAATCCACTTGCACCAGTGTAAAAAAACCAGAGCAACTCTGCTGAGGTCAGTGTGTCCATGACATTTTTATCATGGTGAGTTTTATCATGGTGAGAAGTGATCCAAAATAGGAAACACACACAAGACACTACAGCTAGGGTCTTGTACTACACCCACCCCTTTGACCTTCAGGATCCCCTGCTTTCAGCAGCATACCCCTCCCACAAGCACATACTTCCGTGCCCTCAAGAGTTACATGTGTACCTCCATTTGAGTATGGACAACAGAATTAGGGCATCAGTACTCTGGCTGGGAATGATGGGTGTGTATGGGCTATGGGCACTTTGGATGTAAAATCCCTGCTTGAAAACAGTTTTTCACAAGCACGTGTCCTGCTTAAGATCTCACTAGCATTTACATATAGACTCTCACTTCACTGAGAAAGGTTAAAGTGTTTGCCTTTTATTCAGAAGACTTGTTCTGTTTCCAGCAATACTTTCCCATGTCCTTCAAACCAAAGAGCCCCTAGTTTCATAACAACACCATCAGTCTACCACAAAAAAAGCAAACAAGTCAAAACCAAAAGAGTTCCATGATGTGATATAGCACAGAGAAACAAATACAGCTAATACATTAGAGAAATAAACATTTACATGAAGTTTATGTATGTTGCTATAAAACTGATAGTATGCAATTAGGAAATCGAAAAGATTACCAGGTCTGCTAGATGTTTAAAGCAAGTTTACTTAGGCTGTATCTATATTGTCATACTGGTTTTAGGCATGACTTTGCACTCAGGACCTAGCTACGTCAATTATCCACACTACATGTGGGGGGCTTTCACACAACTCCTCCTACAGCCAGCAGTGTGTATGCAAGTGTCTCAAGCTACCTGTCCAGACTCAAGCAGCGCTTGCAAAGCTGTAAAGATGTAGCCTATTGCTGTCTCCTATGAATATGGTACTACAGGGTTCATCTGCATATACCTGGTTAAGAAACAAAACAGTTGTGTACTAGAAACACCTTAAGGAACATGGAATCTTAGATTTTAGAAAAATATTTTAATTGTCAGTTCACAAGTAAAAACTATCACTAATACAAAACATCTTGTAATACTAGAATATCTAGCTTGGAAATAATTTTGTTCTTATTGCTGTTGCATGTAGTTTTCAGGAGCTGTGTCAGCATGAAGATATGAGTGGGTTTCCCACTTGTCATAGTCGGCTTGTAAGGGTACTTCATAGGAAGATACACTTTCCTATTTAATCCTCACACAATTTTCACGTTTAGGCTGCCCTGATTTTTTTCAGACATATACATAATTGACACCTGACACTACATATCAAAGTCTCTCCCAACTTGAATTGTTTCATTTGCAGCCTTTAAACAAAGAATATTCACTCCAAAAAGAGTGAACACCAGCATTGACACCACCTTAGCTACCTGAAAATCCTATAACTGTGTTCTGACAGCTATCAGATATTAACTCATTCATTTCATTTTGTTTGGTTTCTTCCTTATTCTCATGGTTGGGATGATGTTTTGGATTTCCAGCTTTTTTAGACCTTCTGAGGAAAAATTTCGTCAGTAAGTAACATAACTCGGCCACATTTAAAAGAATGCAAATGCTGGACACAGCAATCATGAAAATAGTAAACACCGTCTTTTCAGTAGGTCGAGAAACAAAGCAGTCTACTGTGTTGGGGCAGGGCCAAGCATTACACTTCATTAAGCGAGGCATTCGGAACCCATCATACATGAAATAAAATGCATACATGAAGACTGCTTCAAAAACCAGTCTGAAGAAGATGCTGCTAGTGTACGTCCACCACAAGGAGCCCTCAATACGAAACCTCTGTTTTCTGATTTCTTCAATGTCCTTGTATTCGCATTTCTGGTCTCCCTTTCTGAATTGCCTTTTCTTCTCATGCCTCCTGTAAGCTACATGCATGGCCACCAGCAGCGCAGGTGTGGAAACAAAGATCAGCTGCAGGGCCCAGAGTCTGATGTGAGAGATGGGGAAAAAGTGATCATAGCAAACATTCTTGCAACCAGGTTGCAGAGTGTTGCAGATAAAGTCATCTTGTTCATCTCCCCAGACTCTCTCTGCAGCCACAACCAGGATCATGATACGGAAGATGAACAGGACTGTGAGCCATATCTTCCCAATGCTGGTGGAGTGCTTATTTACACCTCCTAAAATGGTATGCAGAGCTCCCCAATCCATTGTCTTGTTTTAATCGTCTGACCTAAGACAAGACAAATAAACAAAACTAAGATTAATCAAGACGGGAAATGAATACCATCAAGCATGTGGTATAAAATAAAGGCAATATCATATAATTGCAGCATATCCATTGGCTGTGTTAACATTTTGTTGACGCACTGGGCTTACCTATAAGCAGTCATAAACAATAGTCTAATCACATATCAGCAGGTAATATTTCATTACTTGATTACACACATGGTATCACATTCATTCGACTTCTAGGTCTATTTGCCAGCTGAAAACAGTTATTAGCCACATTAAGTAGGAAAAGGAGACAGGGGAAATTGATGAAAATAGGCTTAAATTAAAAGCTACAACTTCTAGTAGTTTGGTAACAGTAACAAAAGAATAAAAGATGACATCAGCCAAAAGCAAGGTAGGTGTTACATTAAAAAATAGTGTTAGACAGCTAGAAATCCTATATAAATTAAGCCAAGTTGGCCCATCCTTAGCTTTAGAGTATAAACAACGTTTTCATGACTACATTCCAGCAATAAAGACAGACCCTGAGGAACTGCTGCTGATGCTCTGCACCTTCCATGAGCAGGTCTGGATAACCTGCATTCACAAATTTAAAAAAATGTGACTGTAGGGCTCTGTTAGCTGAAGCAAATTCCACAATAGCTTGAGGCAATAAAGGTGGACTCTTGGTCATTATCCATCTCGTCTTGAGTTGGATGTTTAAAATCAGTGCTTAAAGATTCATCCCAAAATTGCATTTCTCTCCACTAACTACAGAGAGCCTAGGGTAACTAGACAGACTCCTTCATTGTCAATGCCTGTCAGGTGATTTCCACCACCCACCCACCCCAACCCCGTAACACAGACTGCATTACTCCTAGAATAGGGGAGACATTTCAGAGGCTGGGAGAGTGCCAACGTCAACGTTTGAAGAGTTCAGACAGGCCAGCAGTAGCTCAGAGACTTTTCAACAGAAGCATATAGTTTCCAGTAGGTGAGTTTCAAAGTACTATGACTGTAATGAATTAAAGGATTTCACCTTTGTCTCCCACATACCTCCCCAGGAACACCACAATTACCTGGGTTTGCTCAGCTTCCACAAACAACAGCCTTTCACAGAGAGCAGAGGCATTTCAGCCCACCTCCCCTCACCCCTCCCCTTCGGATGGATTTACAGAAAGTTTGTTTGCAAGTTATTCTGAATTCAAGAAACCAGCATTTCTTGTGCCTACCAGCCAGGACCCTCTAAAAGTGCTCACAGATCTCTGCTCTGAAATTCCTCATGAAGGTCTTTATTTCTCAACTTTTGTTAATTTGTTTGCATCTCAGAGAGCATCTTTCTTCGGCATTTACAGCAAAATCAGCAAAATCATATTTACAAGAGAAGAGCAGCCACTGGTGCAAAGGCCATCATATCCACACAGGACAGAATTACTACAATTTTCCTGACTCTGAGCTGAGTCACATTACACGAGGAAGAAAATGAAGACATTTCTTTGCAGTTGTCTTCCACGTCACACTCCCATTCTGAGTAGTGTTGAAAACCTTTCTGCTTTACAGCAGAATTATATATCATCAGTAAGTCACATACAATACAGACCACTAGTCAAAGTACACAACAGCTCAGGGAAAATGAGGACATTTAATTGCTGTATGAATGCAAGGTTGGTTTTTTTTTCCTTGAGTTATTGGAATTTAAGTGTAATCTCCTTTCACTGGTTCCATAAACTACATTTCCCTCAGATCATGCTGGTTGACTGGGTGGGGTTATACTTCAGGAGGTGAAAACCAAGGGGGGGGACATAAGATTTTTTTCAGATTGGAGAGAACCTTTCCTGAGCCTCCTTCAGGATGCAGAATCTAAGTGGGCTATTATCTCTGTATCTGTCTGAAGACAGTCCTGGAAGCAAAGTTACCTTCCTATCCTGCTAGGTTATTTTTCCAAGAAGAAAGTTTATTTTTCATTAGCATACAGGTATAGAGAACATCTCTGTAGGTTAACAACCCTATGAGAGTACAGGAAAGACCGTTAATACCAGAGATACTGACAAAACCTACTAGCCAGATTTTCAAATATTTGTTCCCACCCCTTTTTTTGCCATCTGATTTTTCATCAATCAGATCAGACTTTTTTTCAGGATTTGCTTTGGAGATCATGTATGTTAAACAGAGGAACAGTTACAATTTTATTAGTGTTTTTATTAGTGTTCTCTGTTACTATTACACACACATTGCAATTACAGTACTTATAAAATGACACTACAACTAAGTATTATGTCTAGAAATACTTACACACACCTTAACATAAATCCTGAAGTGCCATAAATCCTAGCACCATGTAAACTGTGATATTACACACATCATTCACCCATCCTTTAATTCCACCAGACTCCTTGCATTTCTTCTGTCATCGTTCCTTCTTCTTCTCCCCGCCTGTCAGCCATCTCCTTACACTGTGAAAGACTGAGAAGTGGAACCCCTCCTCATAAGCCCCGTTTCTTATGCTTTACCTCTCACTGTACACCAATACTGCTGCCTTTCTGTTACCACAACTTCACAAGGACTTACTTCCACATGCAATCACTCCTTCCTGTCTCCCTGTGCAGAAGGGGATTCAAAATGAGTGCCTCAGGGTGTAGTTAAAGGGTGCCTTATCTTCAGTGGCAAAGTTAGCTCAAAATGCTTCCCCACCACTGTTTGCTCTGAGGTCACACTGCAGTTCTCCATCTCCTGCTACTTTGTGGGGGTGCATTATAAACCAGGTGGGTTGTTCAAAAGTTATTCCTAGTACTAGCACTTTTTTTTTTAAACCTGATCCACTTCACCAATCTGCTTTACAGCACACACCCACAAAGCATCTGAAAAGCACAACTTCATTTAAAAAACAGGCTGCAAATTGCAAAGCATGGGTAAGAATGAACAGTCAGTGGGGAAAAGGGGTTGGCAAAGCTTTATTGCTGAGGACAATACATTGTGAAACTATACTCTTTATCTAACTTGCCTCATCTCCTCTGAGAGCATGTTGTGCTTGCTAAGCCAGAACATGGTGCTTCAATTCTAGCAAAAGCATGTCTGTACCTGGATTGATGCAGAAAAAGCCACCACACTTTGGAGAGGCAGCCTTTCTCCCCGAGTCTCCTACTGACATTTCTTCTCCTTCCCAAAAAAGCTTTTGTCTTTCATATCTGCCCAGACCCCCCCTTCACAATTCCCACCTACCTTTTCAAATCCTCCAACTATCTCTTCAGCTCCTCCTGCCACCATTCCCTATTCTTCCTGCTGCTTGCCAAGCTAGGAACCTTTGCCCCTTCTTGCTGTACCCTCATTGCCTCTCAGGCTTGTTTTTATGCTGGTGGAAAGTCATGTGACTTCTGGAACACTCCAGAGATTGATACAGGCACTGATCAGATACCAGTAAAGTCTCACTATCTTCTCCCAGAAGGGTGGCACAGTTAAGATTGTAGGGCCATATTCAGGCAGCCTGAATTCCATCCAAATACTTTGGCCCCAGTGTTTCCTACTAGCTCGCTTTAAACAGCTTGCATCAATCCAATTTAGAGGATCTAATGAAGGCAATTCAGAGACTGCTGAAGTGCCCTGTCTCCCAATAGACAGGCACAGTGACCCAAGCAGAATTTAAGTTAACCAGAGTATGGCCCTTCATGCTATTAAGCCATCAGTGCAGATCACTCCAGCTAAACATCAAGTTTGGGCTATCTGTACAGATGTGATGGCTCATTTACTCCTAACTTACTCAAAAGCTAGGATGTTGACTCATAATCGTAGGTTATCTTTCTTCCAGATACTCGCTTTTAAGACCTTTTTACTAGCAAGTAAAATATTAACTGTCTTGCTGAGCAAAGGAGAAGAAAGCAGGAAAACTACTTCCCTTTAATGGGTGGTAACTCTTATTTTCATAGAGCCAGTCCAGATACTATTTCTATGTGAGCAAATCCAGCTAAATGCCTATTGAACTAACAGTATGTAGACAGTCAAGGACTTACCTGCTTTGCTGGTCTCAGAAGTACAGCACAGTACAAGAATAAGTTAAAGACATGAAAGCTTAGGTGAATTTTTGGGGAAAAAAGTAAAGTAGGTATGAGGATAGGGACTGGTGATAAAGGAAGAAGCTGGGAAGAACAGAAGACAGTTGAAGTCAGTGAGGTTGAGTAACTGAGCATTTAGAACCCATTCTAACATGGGAGTGTATCGTCTTTAAGAGTTAAATTTTCCTTAAAAAAAAATTGCAACTGGGCATGAAAATAAGCCTTTCCAAGCCTCATAGATCTCTGTTCTGCTACCAGCTGAACCTTCTGTCCCATTTCAACAATTGGATGATCACGATAGTATATGGCTGTTACAATAGGAGTTAAAAATGATCATAAGATCACCATGCTCCACTGAAGAGTTAATTACGAGGGTTCTATATGATCACACAACACACAGAGGCACATAAGCAGATGTTTTGTTTTGGGTTTGGTTTTTGTTGTTGTTTTGGTTTTTTCACTAGTAGACTAGACAGCAGCAAGAGAAGAACTACAGCTTAACTATTTCTGTAGTTCTTCAGCTTCTGGGCAGTATTGTTTTGAACTGTGTGCTGCCATGGCTAGACTGCCTTCTACTTTAAAGCTAGCTCCTGTAAGCCTATATTAAACCACAATCACAGGGCAGTGCATACACCCAGTGAAAATCCCTGCAATTCACAACACTGAAGACAATTATCATTGAGCTCCTGTGTTTATGAGTACAGCTAGTTAGCAGATGCTTTTTTGACTTTGTTAAAGACTGTTATACTGGGAAATCATTAGTCAATGGTTAAATCCACAGCTTCAGCAAACCACAACTAGAATACAGTGAAGGTAAAAACAACAGAAGATACATTCCTTTCACATACACAGAATGGCACTTGCTGCTATAGGATATTATCAAGCAAAAAAAGTAGTCATTAGCAAGTGTTACAATATTTGCTTATGCTATAGGAACAGCTAGGAGTCCAAGTCAAGAAGGGGTCCA